TATAATTTATTCTTTCTTTTTACAGGAAAAAATCGGATATTCCAAGAAAGAAAAAACGAAAACAAATACTTAACAAAAAGTGCTGCAATATGAAATCATCTTTTCATGATTAACTGAAAAAATAAGAGAAAATATGTTATCACACGCACACACATACGTTTACACAGCCACAACGAATCAACCACATAACATAATTAATTATGATTGAACAGTAAACTGGTAAGCGGAAGAAATGAAAAAATAAAAAAAACGCATAAGAAAAATTTAATCAAATTACGGGAAACACACAAAGATATTGAAAATTGCAATTTTCCAATGGATAAATACATCATCGACATCATCTCAAATAAGTTTTTATTAAATATTGACATTAATGAACATACCGACATATACATTAACATTGTATCTACACTCATGGTGGTGCATTCCTTAGCAATAAGTGAGGAAATTTTAAAGCACAAGATTTTGGGGAATAAAAAAACTAAATTGGGGATAAATTTACTTGGTGAGATTTTGAAGAACCCAGAAGGGCTAATTTGCCCTTGCCCTAGTTTATGTTTTTGAGTTAAAGTGTGATGAATTTTATGTTAGCGAAGCTCACAAAGAAATCGAACTCTATTTTTCTCCCTTTTGGGAGAACAAAATGGCGGACCTCTGAAAAAATATTTTTTTCAAAATCGCCGATTTTTGACCACAAACCAATTTAAAAAATAAGGAAGGAAGACCGATCGGCTTTATCCTAGTTCATACGAGAGCTAAACACTCACAGAGAAACGTCCTACAATTTGGGATCGATTGGATTAATAGTTTTTGAGTTATCGTGTCCGCAATTCGTAAAGACACTGTTTCGAGAAAAACGCGTTTAAATTTAGAGAAGCACTTCAGCCGCCTCTTGATGCTGACATAATATATCGGCTATATCTCCAAAAGTTGTTGAGATTTTCACTTGAAATTTTATAGGGACATTATTAAATTAGTGTAAGTTCGAATTAAATCAAAAGACAATATTAAATTTTTTGAAACCGAGAATGGGGGGTCCCCTTAAGACAGAATTTTGCACAGCGCACTGAAATAGTCTCATATTTATGTATGCAAAGTTTTGTGAAATAAGTTCAAATTTAGGTATTGCTCCCATATATATATTTTCGGGCGTTTTTATGTAAATGGTGCAACAAACTCCCAATTTTTGTCTGACTCATACACAATTTTCCACAGCGTACGAAATTAAGTCCAGATGTTTGAAGTTGATGTTTGTGAAGTTCAGATTTAGATATAGCTCCCATATACAGTTTCGTCCGATTATAGGTAAATAGTACACCAACATCCCAATATTTGTCCGACTGAGACAACAACGTCCAAATTTTGTATACATACGTAATTTTGCTCGGTTTAATACAAATGGTACTCCAAAGAATCGAAGTCTCCCAGATTGACATGCAATTTTTCATAGATTTCAATGTATGTGTGATTCAAATATCCATGTAGATAACACATTTAATTTTGTCAGATTCCATTTCAAAGGTCTTCTAAGGATGATATGCCTTTTCTATCTACGGGATATTGTATATATTAGCATCTCTTGTATGTGCATAAAGTGGTGAAGGGTATCATATAGTTGGCCCCGTCCGACTTTTGAACTTTCCATAGTGGCTTTTGTTTAAAGTTTGAACTTTGACATTATGTGTGAAACAATACATTATTTAACAAACATTGATTCTTTTGGGGTAATTTTCGACCCCAAATTGGGCGGTATCTCAGTCATAACTTGACGAATGTTGGTTTTCAAGAGTTCAGAAGTTGAAGGTTTATCTGTATAAACAGGGTCTTTGCGTGGCAGCATAACAAAAGTCTGATGGTCTAAAGAAGTAAAATCACATGATCATGTTGGCCAATTAATAATTTAATAAAAATGTGTTTGATCCGGAACAGCTACTACAGCTAAAATGCGGCTACAATCCTCAAAATACCAACAATTGGGCCTACCCTCATATTGGGGATATGTCAAAACTTGTGTTTATATTGATTATAATTTATTTTTTATTATTACCTACACACCTATGTTGTCAGGGTATTATAGCTTTGTGCAGCCCCAAGAGTTTGTAACGCCTCGAAATGTTGGTCCTAGATCCACATTTAAGTACACCGATCGTCATATCTCGACTAGCATAGTTGATCTATACATGTGTGTCCGTCCGTCTGTCCATTATAATTTGTAAACTCGATACAGGCCACAATTTTAATATTTAGCGTGAAATGGACCCTGACTTTTGAAAATGACAAAATGTGTATTCTGGGGCGTATATATTTATTAATGAAGGACTTAGACTAAAATAGTTGAGAATATCCAAGAGAAGTGGTTGACCTTGTGACGTCGGTTGTTGGAGTTACACTTAAATATTTACAAGGGTCTACGTATTCAGATATTATTTAGTAACCCATTACCACACTAGAGGATGGAAATATAGCGCTGATCTCTTTGACGTTTTCCAATAAGTTCCTGTTCGACCATAACAGGAACTTGTTAGAAAATGTCAAAGGGATCAGCGCTACAACGTCTACAATTTTCGGTGATTATCAGATAATAATTTTGGTATGAAATGGGCCGAAAACTTGATTTTTTTATGTTTTTTTCGAGTCGATCTATAGGTCACAATAATAAGCCAAACTTCACAACACAACCCGCGGTGAAGGGAATTTGGATTTGAAAGGATGTACTGAATATTAATAATATTCAGAAAATATGTCAGTGTAAGGAATAGGTGCTGTTGACCTCTAACCAGGCAAGAGGATACAAATATCAGGAGATATTTCTCAGAATAAACATTCGCAGAAAGTTAGAGTTCCGTGGTATTTGCGTAGGGTATCGTATAGTCGGCGAGTTCGACTACACTCCTCCGCTCACTGGTTTTTGATATATGGAAAATACTAAAAAAATAGATCTATATCGACAATTGTGCCAAAAGATTGTTGTAAGCCATTATAGACTCGAAATACTAATTTCAGCAATTTTTAATAGGGATTTTTCCTATCTCAAATCTCCAAATTGTAGTATAAAATAATGCAAAAGTGATCAATATTGATTACATCGTGTATGAATTACCGAACATTTGGAGTTATAATTATATGAGGGGCTATGTAAAATTGATGATCGATGATTGATGATCGATATACATCAATTTCGAACCTATTTTTTTGTATCACAATATCTACCTTCACTCTTAATATTAAAACCAGTGAGCGGAGCAGTATAGTCGGACGGGGCCGACCATACGATACCCTACACAACTACCACGAACTCTAACTTTCAGAGGATGTTTATTCCGAGTCTGAGTAATATTTCGTGATATTTGCCCCCTCTTGTCCGATTAGAGGTCAACAAGACCTCTTCCTTACTTTTTTCGAATATTCAGTACAGTCCTTCTAATTACCTGTCCAGATTACCTTCACGGTGGGTTGTGTTGTGATTTTCGGATTATACTCGACTCGAAAACACACAAAAATTAAGTTTTCGGTCCATTTCATCCCAAAATTTTAATCTGATCATCATCGAAAATTGTAGGCGTTGTTCTTGACCATAACTGGAACTTCATGAAAAATTGCAAAGCCATCAGCGCGATATTTCCCCCTCTATTGTGGTAATGGGTTACTAAATAATATCTGAATACGTAAGCCCCTGTAAATATTTGACTGTAACTTCCACATCTGAGTAGATACATCACTATATTTGGTATCAATTTAAAGGCCAACCACTCCTCTTGGATATGCTATCAACTCCTCGGGTCTACATCCTCCAGGAGTAAATATATATGCCATAGAATACAAATTTTGTCATTTTTCACACAAAAGTCAGGGTCCATTTGACCCGCTAAATATTGACCGATCTTTATCAAAACATGCATGCTTATTCTCCGGCCTGATCCCCTTCTCCATGCAAAAATTCGCGGTGTTTGGGCCATCTGGAGCGACCAGAAAAACCGACAAAAATAATGTTTTTGGTCCATTTCATCCCCTAAATATTAACCGATCTTTTCCAAAAACAATAGGGATCTTCATTGGCCAGAACCCATCCTACATGCAAAATTTCGTGAAGATTGGTCCATAACTGTGGCCTGTATCGTGTTTACAAATTATAATGGACAGACGGACGGACGGACGGACACACATGTCTAGATCGACTCAGCTAGTCGAGATATGACGATCGGTATACTTAAAGGTGGGTCTAGGACCAATATTTCGCGGCGTTACAAACATTTGGGGCTGCACAAAGCTATAATACCCTGACAACATAGTGGTGTAGGGTATAAATACCGAAAATTGTGGTGCCCTTATATGGGGAGTATGCCTAAACGTGGATCGATATAGTACATTTTCGAACTTGATCTGCCTGCAGATAAAAGACGTTCAGAGGTTAGAGTGATTACAACAGACAGACTGACATGTTAAAATGATCAAGAATATTAGGTTGGGGAAGAAGAAGTCAATTATTTTGCACCAAACAAAAAACAGCAAATTATTGCGAAATGTCACCCTTCCAACGTGCCTAAATCTAAAATTGTTTGATCGATACGTTAGGAGAAATCTATCAGTACAGCCATCTGTCGAAAAAGAGCAATATTGGCAAATTTTTGTAGAGAGATTTTCTACGCAATGACAATCGGAAATATAAAATTACATCCAATTAAAATAAATACCGACGTTTGGGATGTAGCGTTGTGTGGGAGCTAAGCTAAAAGTGGAGCAATGTCGATCATTTTTAACAGTTGTAATAATAAAAACTCATACAATTGATCTGTATGCAATAACATTTATTTTTAATAAAATATTTTTTTTGGTTTCGTTTATTTTGATGCATTTTTATGCAAATTTGCTAAAATTGTTCTATTCCATTTTGTTTTGTGATATTTTTTTTTGTTATATTTTTGGCCATTTTTATTGGCATTGCTTTTAGTTTTCATCGAATATCCTGTTTTTCGAAAACAGTAATTCATCACATTCATAAATCCTGAATCTAAGCCTGAGATTCTGCCTGTGAGGTGGTTTGAGTATCACTATCCGGCTTTGGTTCCTCCGTCGAACCAAAAACACACATTGGACATTTCTCCTTGAGTACAAGACGATATTTTGGATGACTTAGGCCATAGACAATGGGATTGTATACGGCACTGGTTTTGGCAAAGGTTGCACCCAGAATGGTGGTTGTTGGTGTTAGGCCATCAAATTTAAACAGGCCATGATAACAGATTATTAAATAGGGTGTCCATGCCAAAAACCACAGGGATATTGTTGTCAATGCCACCTTGGCCAATTTGGCTTCGGCACTTTTTTCACAATCCTCCGATGAACGCAACGATTTGACATTCATTTTTTTGGCCTGTTCACGCATTGCTTTTTCGTGGGCCGAAACGGCGGCGATTATAAACCAATATGAGTAGCAAATCAGGAAGAGGGGGGTGTAGTAGACCAGCAACGAGTAGGAGATCAAATAGGAACGTGGATTCCAATCGCGTGTCATGTAATCAATACTGCAGGCGGTTAAATTTCCTTCAGGTACATAACTGTAGGGATATTTTAAATAAGCGATATTTCTAATTAAAATTCGCGGTTGACTTACGCACTCCACCCCAATAGAGGCATCAGGGTCCAAAATGTTGCAAACATCCATATAAAAGTTATTTTCACCAAGGCCAATTTCACGGTCATTGGCCTCCCCGAGACGCCCTTCACAATGACATTATACCGATCCAAGGCTATCATGCACATAGACCATATGGAGACACAGCCAAACATTGAACCACATATTGCATAGATATCACACCACATCGGCCCCAAAATCCATGTTTCGAAATAGAAATTTATAATCATTACCGGCGATTGGGAGAGCATCATACAAAAATCGGAAAAGGCTAGATTTAGTACCAGTAGGTTTGCAGGAGTTCGTAGGGATTTGGTTCCACCAAAAATATACACCACAACGCCATTGCCACAACAGGATATAACCATAATAACTGCGGTAAAAATTCCAAAAAGTTGGCTGGTTGCTGATGGCATCGGAGGAAAGCGACCCCAATAAGGATTCACCAAATGGGCCATGTCGGGAGTGACCTGTAGGAAAATTAAATTACATACTAAAATCCCAAAGGACTTCTCTGCTAAACAGGACATATCGGATTTTAAATAAAAAATCCCACTTTTATTTTCATCAAATGTCCTGCCTTAGTCCATCCTCATTTATCCTCATTAATTATTTTCTTTATTTTTTAAATAATAACCGCTATTACTTACTCTATCCAATACAGAGCCATTGCCCATTTGAGCCTCAAACCGGGGTGATTTGAAATATCCCTCCATGTCATCTCTCATGGCTTGGATGCAAATATCTCCAACACCCTTGGAAGTAGAATTTTATTTGTGTTGCTTTCAAAATGGACTTCACTTCAAATTAATTTGCATTTAAATGATTACAATTTTCAATTACATTTCCACAACAAAAAAAACCCGAACTAAAATACTTAAAAAAACCAACAACAAAAATATGCCAACTACTCAATTCGCCAGCTATCGGAATTGAACTATCGAAGTGTTGATACCAAAAAATGCTTTGATTTTATCAAAGAGCATTCATGCCAACGACAGCCTTTTTATACCGCAAAACAATTTTCAAGCATTTTGTGGCAATTGTGATTTATTTTATTGTTGTTGTTGCTGCTGCTGGTTTTGTTGTTTTTGTTCAGTTAATTCGATTAGTATTTGAATTTGATATGTGTCTGGCAGACACACACAAGCATAGAAACACACATTGTGTGCATCAAATCAATGCAAAAAATCTCATTTAATATGCTATGCACTTGGCATACAACACAAAAACGTCAACAACAACAAAATAACAAAACAAAAAAATCCGACATAAATCCGCACGCAATCAAAATTCACTTGCATTGTGGTCAGTCGGCAGTAATTACTTTTTTTACTAAGTGGCAAAAAAATCTGCAAGTTTTTCAGTAGACGGTAGAGGCTTCTGACATGGCCACCATGTCTACTAAAACATGAACATCGCGTGGCACAGTGGTTTTAATTTTGTATAGAAGAACACTATCTTCTGTGTGTATAAGAGCATTCTTTAAAAATCCACGCCTGAAGCAGGGCTGGCCCTTGGAAAAAAAATATTCTTTAAAAATCCACGCCTGAAGCAGGGCTGGCCCTTGGAAAAAAATATTCTTTAAAAATCCACGCCTGAAGCAGGGCTGGCCCTTGGAAAAAAATATTCTTTAAAAATCCACGCCTGAAGCAGGGCTGGCCCTTGGAAAAAAATATTCTTTAAAAATCCACGCCTGAAGCAGGGCTGGCCCTTGGAAAAAAATATTCTTTAAAAATCCACGCCTGAAGCAGGGCTGGCCCTTGGAAAAAAATATTCTTTAAAAATCCACGCCTGAAGCAGGGCTGGCCCTTGGAAAAAAATATTCTTTAAAAATCCACGCCTGAAGCAGGGCTGGCCCTTGGAAAAAAATATTCTTTAAAAATCCACGCCTGAAGCAGGGCTGGCCCTTGGAAAAAAATATTCTTTAAAAATCCACGCCTGAAGCAGGGCTGGCCCTTGGAAAAAAATATTCTTTAAAAATCCACGCCTGAAGCAGGGCTGGCCCTTGGAAAAAAATATTCTTTAAAAATCCACGCCTGAAGCAGGGCTGGCCCTTGGAAAAAAATATTCTTTAAAAATCCACGCCTGAAGCAGGGCTGGCCCTTGGAAAAAAATATTCTTTAAAAATCCACGCCTGAAGCAGGGCTGGCCCTTGGAAAAAAATATTCTTTAAAAATCCACGCCTGAAGCAGGGCTGGCCCTTGGAAAAAAATATTCTTTAAAAATCCACGCCTGAAGCAGGGCTGGCCATTGAAAAAAAAAAAATAGTCTTTATAAATCCACGTCAGAAGCTTGGCTGGCCATTGAAAAAAAATAGTCTTTAAAAATCCACGTCTGAAGCTGGAGTGGCCCTTGGAAAAAAATTTTCTTTAAAAATCTACGCCTGAAGCTGGGCTGGCCCTTGGAAAAAAAATATTCTTTAAAAATTCCCGCCTGAAAATGGGCTGGCCATTGAAAAAAATAGTCTTTAAAAATGCACGCCTCGAGCTGGACTGAACCTTCGAAATAAATATCCTTTAAAAATCCACGCCTGAAGCTGGACTGACCCTTGGAAATAAATATCCTTTAAAAATCCACGCCTGAAGCTGGACTGACCCTTGGAAATAAATATCCTTTAAAAATCCACGCCTGAAGCTGGACTGACCCTTGGAAATAAATATCCTTTAAAAATCCATGCCTGAAGCTGGACTGAACCTTGGAAATAAATATCCTTTAAAAATCCACGCCTGAAGCTGGACTGACCCTTGGAAATAAATATCCTTTAAAATCCACGCCTGAAGCTGTACTGACCCTTGGAAATTAATATCCTTTAAAAATCCACGACTGAAGCTGGACTGACCCTTGGAAATAAATATCCTTTAAAAATCCACACCTGAAGCTGGACTGACCCTTGGAAATAAATATCCTTTAAAAATACAAGCCTCAAGCTGGACTGACCCTTGAAAATAAATATCCTTTAAAAATCCACGCCTGAAGCTGTACTGACCCTTGAAAATAAATATCCTTTAAAAATCCACGCCTGAAGCTGGACTGACCCTTGGACAAAAATATTCTTTACAAATCCACGCCTGAAGCTGGACTGGCCCTTGGAAATAAATATTCTTTCAAATCCACGCCTGAAGTAGGGCTGGTTCTTGGAAATAAATATTCTTTAAAAATCTAAGCCTAAAGCAGGGCTGGATCTTGGCTGGCCTTTGGAAAAATTAATCTTTAAAAATCCTGGCTGAAGTTTGGCTGGCCTTGGAAAGGTGGACTTGCCCTTGGAAAAATATTATTAAAAAATTTGGAAATAAATATCGTTTAAAAATCCACGCCTGAAGCTGGGCTAGCCTTTGGAAAAAATATTTTTTTAAAAAACCAAGTCTGAAACTGGGCTGGCCTTTGAAAAAAAATATTCCTTAAAAATCCAAGACTGAAACTGGGCTGGCCATTGAAAAAAAATTGTCTTTAAAAATCCACGTCTGAAGCTTGGCTGGCCCTTGGAAAAATTAATCTTTAAAAATCGACGCCTGAAGCTGGGCTGGCCCTTGGAAAAATTAATCTTTAAAAATCCACGCCTGAAGCTGGGCTGGCCCTTGGAAAAATTAATCCTTAAAAATCCACGCCAGAAGCTTGGATTTCCGTTGGAAAAAATTAATCATTAAAAATCCCCGCTAGAAGCTGGGATGGCCCTTGGAGAAATTAATCTTTAAAAATCCAAGCCAGAAATTGGGATGGCCCTTGGAAAAAAATTCTCTTTAAAAATCCGCGCCTGAAGCTGGACTGACCCTTGGAAAAAATATTCTTTAAAAATCCTCGACTGAAGCTGGGCTGGCTTTTGAAAAAAATATTCTTTAAAAATCCCCAACTGAAGCTGGGCTGGCCCTTGGAAAAAATATTCTTTAAAAATCCTCGGCTGAAGCATTTCCTAAAAAATTGTGGCTTGAACTAAAAATGTACTTTACTTTATTTTCCAAACACTGTGCCAAACATCTCCTAACACTGGTGTTAACAAACATGCCACCCTGTCATATCAGACATACATACACACGTCTTAAATGTGTGTCTACAAAGTTGATTGTCCATTTATAAGGGCCAAGCACGGTTTATATGTCATTTTTGATTGAGTTCTAGTGTAAAGTGGCTGACAAAACCAAATGCATGTCAAATAACCTCAGCTCCTCCCTGGCGTATACTTTATAAAACCAAACCATTTCCATCGCATAGCTAAGTTCCTCCCCGGCGTATACATTATAAAAATTGTTACATGCCATTACTCATACGTAGCGTGGGTCAAGAAATTGTCATCCATGTAGCTGTTAACTGGCGAACATAACAATTGTCAATGTAACGGTAATAAATAAATAAGAACATTTGCGTGTTGTTAAATACCAGCATCATCAGCATTTTACACAGACTGTCAACCATTTTGGCATTAACAAGACAATGTTTATAGGGAATTTATACGACCTTAGAACGATGTTGCGATTTGTTTTTTTGATTTAATTTGTGGTTTGATTACTCAAGTGGATTTGTGGTTTTGTTGTTTTTTTTTAGAAAAATTTAAATCATGTTTTCTTTTCGTAACGGTTATATATTTCTTATATTTAATGAAAATGTATGCATTAACGAATTGCTTTACATTAAAATGTGTTTTTAATGTGGTTCCATTGCAAAAGCGAATTTAAATTTCGAATTAGAATCGTCATTTTATTACACAAATCAAAATGTCTTTAGAGTATAATAATAAAAACGGATTACGAAATATTTTATGCTTGAGATACAATAAGCAATAATTAATGTGCACAAATGTCTAATAGATCTATATTTTTGCAGAACTGAAAGTATAAGGCATGTTATGTTAACGTTATGAATACCTTGCCTCTTTTCCTGAAATATCTTGTGTTCAATCCTATAACTTAATTTCCAAATTATTTGAAAATAAAATTTTCAAACTTTCTCACGAATCTGTCGAATTGTAATCTGATAAAATATAATGCGATTTCTTAGTAATATTCAAAATATGTTTCTTTGCGAATAAAGCAGTATTGAATCGAGAATATATTTTAGGGTAGATTATATGTGATTTTATTGTTCTCTTCTGCTTTGTCAAAATTTATGTCGAATATTTTTCCAAGGCGAGCCCAGCTTCAGGCGTGTATTTTTGAAGAATATTTTTTCCAGGGCCAGTCCAGCGCCAGGCGTAAATTTTCTTAAAGCCTACATTTAGGCGTGGTTTCTAAAGAATATTTTTCCCAAGGCTAAGCTTCAGCCGTGGATTTTTAAAGTATATATTTTTTTCAAAGCCCAGCCAGCCTACATTTAGGCGTGGATTTTTAAAGAATATTCCGAAAGATTTCACACCGTTTTAAAGAATATTTTTCTGCCAACTAAGCTTCAGCCGTGGATTTTTAAAGTATATATTTTTTTCAAAGCCCAGCCTACATTTATTTTTCCCAAGGCTAAGCTTCAGCCGTGGATTTTTAAAGTATATATTTTTTTCAAAGCCCAGCCTACATTTATTTTTCCCAAGGCTAAGCTTCAGCCGTGGATTTTTAAAGTATATATTTTTTTCAAAGCCCAGCCAGCCTACATTTAGGCGTGGATTTTTAAAGAATATTTTTCCCAAGGCTAAGCTTCAGCCGTGGATTTTTAAAGTATATATTTTTTTCAAAGCCCAGCCAGCCTACATTTAGGCGTGGATTTTTAAAGAATATTTTTCCCAAGGCTAAGCTTCAGCCGTGGATTTTTAAAGTATATATTTTTTTC